TCCGTTGGTTTCGTTACATTGATGACATGTTAGCTGCTGAAGATGTTTCTCTGTTACAGGAGTGTCTAGATGCCCTACAGGGGAGAGGATGGGCCATGAGTCCCCACAAGGTGCAGGGGTGGGAATGTTGGTAAAATTCCTAGGGGTCGTCTGATCAGGTAAGACCCATGTGTTGCCTGAAGCCATAGGTGATAACATACAAGCTTACCCCACCCCTAGGAAGCCAAAGGAAGTACAGGCCTTTGTGGGTCTTTTGGGGTATTGAAGAGAATTTATTCCCCACTTGGCGTGGTGCTTGAGACCACTCTATCAACTGATAAAAGAGGGTGCCTCTTGGTATTGAAGTAATGAACAGCAGCAAGCTCTGAGGAAGCAAAAGTGTTGGTTGCACAAGTGAAAGCGCTGGGTATGATACGGGAAGTGTTACCCTTCCGGTTAGATGTGAGCAGCACTGAGAACTGCTTTGGCCAGGCCTTGTGGCAAGACCAGGATGGAACTAAAAGCTCCCCTAGGTGTTTGGTCCCAACTGTGGAAGGGGCAGAAAACTGATACAGTCTCAGGGAGAAATAACTGTTAGCACCCTATGATGCTCTCTGCCAGGTAGAGCCATTAATGGGCAGGAACTGTTACCCTTAACACAGTTTTTCCCATAAATGGGTGAGTCAATGGGCTATTTTCCAAGCTGTCATCAGCTATCATCCAGACAGCTACGCTGACCAAATGGCACACATACCTGCAACAGCGCAGTGTCCTTTCTGCCAATCTGTTGTCCCAGTGGTTACAGGCTGTACTTGGTCCAGTGCTATATCAAGATGACCCCTCAGCACAGGCTAGCACACTGCAGGAGCCACCTCTTGGACGAGAGGGGAAGGCCCACTGCCAGAAGACGCCTGGTACACAGATGGCTCTAGCTGAGGTATGCCAGCACTGTAGACATCAGTGGCTGTGCAACCCTCCACTGATAACTATTTGGTTTGAAACCAGCTCAGGGCAAAGCTGTCAATAGGCCAAATTAAGGGCCACATAGATGGTCATCACTCATGAACCCTGGCCCTTAACCCTGTGTATGGACGGTTGGGCAGTGGCCTGTGGGCTATGTGGATAGGCCAATGGCACAAGCAGCAATGGACAATAATGGGTAAAGTCCTATGGGGGAAAGCCTTACGGCAGGACAGCTGGGATCGCCTCCAAACCCTGGACGCTGACCTGTTTTTCATGTAGCAGCTCATTTACCCCTTTCCCTGCCAGGAAACCAAAAAGCAAACACTATAGCACAAGTCAGAACAGTGCATCCCAAGTGGGAAGATGCCCATTGGATTCACCAGAAAAGTAGACACTGTAGTGCCCATATTGGTTGGAAAATAGCCAAAGGGGCAAGAATAGCAGTAAAGTACAGTGATCTGGTGGGTACTGTACAAAATTGCCCTGTGTGGTCATACCAATGCCCAAGGCATCTGCCACGTGATCCTGGACAGATACATAAGGGAGCACAGCCAATGATGGACTGGCAGGTAGATTATATAGGGCCCCTACCTCCTCGTGAAGGAGCAAAGTAGGCTCACCTTTGTGTGGACACTTTCACCGCCTTGACACAGTCATTCCCTTGTAAACGAGCAAATCAGGCTGCTACAAAAATTGTTATGTACGGGATACCCTGAAGGGTTGACAGTGACCAGGGGACACATTTTACAGGTCAATACGTGCACAAATGGGCATCTGAGAACAAGGTACAATGGCATTACCACCTGCCCTACAACTCCAGGCCTCAGGCCTGGTAGAAAGGAAGAACGGTGACCTAAAACAACAAATAGGAACCCTTACAGGCAAGGCTTCCCTGATGGGGTGGACCAAGGTGCTGCCTGAGGCTTTGAGGTTGATAAATTTGGCTCCCACTGGGGCTTTAGCCTTGTATGCCACACTAGGAGCCCTGAGTGACCCTCTAGCAATGATCTGAGTGACGTCACAAGCTCTGGAAATATATCCACCAAGGTTGTTGCTGGAACAAAACAGCATGGTCCTCCAGACACCCCAGGACCTGGCGCTGGGAAGGGGAACCATCTATTAGCACCTGTCGTAGGTCACCCCACTGGGGTGGATTGGTTACTTCGTCCCTCTGGAGGTGGAGGAACTGATAGGCCTAATGTGGGAGCCCACCATCCTACTGCATGAAGGGCCTCAGCAGTCACGCTTCACATGGTAAGGAACAACGGCTATACCATGAGGGACAGAAGTGGGTCTCATTTTCTGGCAACAGCAAAACAACAACTTTACTAGCAGTCCCTCAGGTGACCTCCCCGTGGTAGCACATATGGTACACTTAGCCAGGGAAAATGCCTAAAGCAGCTGCTGTTCTCACTATCCGAGGGGAAGTCATTAGTGTGATCCTAATAGAAGGAGAAGATTTACCCTTCTTGGTACCTACTAAACACCTGTCTTTCTGACTGTAGGTATGACCTACTCTGTTTTCTTCCCTTTGGGGCTGCCAACCTCTTCCTAGAGTGGGCTCACAGCTTCGCCACAGTCCACAACAAAAGCAGCTGCTGGGTCTGTGGACAACTTCCCTTCTCAAGTGCCGAAGGCATGGCTTGGAGCGTGGAGCCCCTGATCGGAACCGACTGGGCAGTCCTCTAGTTTGCATGGTGTTTTGATGGATCTTGGTCTTTTCCTGGGTACAGGGATTGTCTGCTGCGTTTGTCTATAATGCTGGTGTGGTCTGTGCCTCCAACTACAGCAATACTGTCTGTCCCTACAGTGACACCACCTCTCAAGGCCCTCGGGGACTTTGTGGAAGAGGGGGAACACATCAGATTGTAAAAGCGGCCTCAAGGGGTGGACTGAAGGGGAAAACATGCTTTGCGAGGCCAAACATGCTGCCCTCATGCTTTCTGTTAGTGCACTGCTGTTTTCCAAGCCCCTGTTATGTGACCTTGTTGAGGCAGTCTTATGTAACCCTCTGTCGTGGAGTCACTTTTGTCCTTGACCACTATAAAACCTCCACCCCTCTACTGCTGTGTATGGAGATCTGCTTTGGTCATCCTGTCACCAGGGACCACTGCCTCTGTATGTAAATCTCCCTAATAAAGACTCCATGGCACCACACTGGAGTTGCCCGCTTCTTTCTTTGGTCTCTCAGCACCTTCCAATTTTGGAGGCAAATTTCAAGTTACTGGTTCATGCCTGGACAACAATATGCACCTTATCCAGTCAAGAACCATGGAAACTCCACCCTCATCAGTGGAGGTCAAGTGGAGAGCCTAGATTTCCACCCTTTCATAGTAATAACAAAGCCCCACCACCCCGCCACCCCATAGTGTCATCAGAGGCCTAGCCAGGGCTTCTATCTTTGACCAGAAGTAAAGAGGTGCCATTCTCTCTCCCAGCAGAGAAGTAGAAAGTGCCATGGGAGGTGGGGGGGCTGGCTGGTGTCAGAAGTGATGAAAAAGATGGAGAGTGTAGGTATGTCTGACCTCCACCTCATAGGAATCAGCTTTGTATTGGTGATTCGCATCCCTCCTCTTGAAGTTAGATGAGGTCTGATGCTAGTAGATTACAGTACCAAAAACAATTTCATGCCCAATATGAAACAGACTATTTGAATAGCTGTATAACTATTAAAGAAATGTAATTTATAGTTTAAAAAACTTCCGAAAATAAATCTGCAGGCCCAGATGGTTTCACTGCAGACTTCTACCAAACATTTAAAGAAGAATTAACACCAATTCTACACAATCTCTTCAAGAACATAGGAAGGAGGGAATACTTCTCAACTCATTTTATGAGATCAGCATTACCCTGATACCAAAACCAAAGACATTACAAGGAAAGGAATCTACAGACCAGTATCCCTCAAGAATATAGATACAAAATTTCTTAACAAAATTTTAACATTCAATCCGGGCACAGTCAAGAACACCTGGATTAGAAGCCATTCCATATCTTTTTATTTTTGGTGTGATCGATTACCAACTGATTTTAAGGTTTAACTTACAAAGGACAATCTCATTTCTTTCATTTTCATGGCAGGTGCCCCACTATGGATTTCATACCCTGAGAATAAATATTATTATGCTTATTATGCAACTAAAGAATCCAGGCTGAGACAGGCTAGGTAACTCACCTAAGTTAACCCAGCTAATAAGGGCTGGCATGGGGTTCACGCCAACACCTGCTGAACTCTAAGATCCAAATCCTTTATACTACACCATGCTGTTTCACTTATGAAAGTATAAGCTACACTCTTTTGCTTAATTCTTATGACAATTCTATATTAATTCATTCACTATTTATTATCCCTATCTTAAAGATTAGGAAAATGAGCCCCAGAAAGCTTATAGAAGCTTTCCAAGGCTCAAGGTTGGCATATGCAATTTAAACCCATGTATGTCTAACTTCAAAGTACATGCTTCATACATGATGACCCAATAGTATATAACCAGGTTTTGTAAAGTTATTTTGAGGGCTAAAATAAACATCAAAGTCAGAGACACTGTACTAGGCACTGAGGATACCGTGATAAAGGAGAACATGGTCCCTACTCTGAAGGGGCTGTGGGTCTGGTTAGAGAGAATCATATGCAATGTACTTTCTTAACGAAACTAAAATATAACAAAATTACAAATGTGAATATAAAAATATTTGTTTTCCTACATGTATTTCACTGAAAAAAATCAATGAGTATTTCATAATTTAAATACCACATCACAGGTTGTTTTAAAATTAAGCGTAAAAACACAAACTTCATTCAATTTTCAGATACAGAACATAGAATGTTTATATAAACATAACCAATACTAGCTAAAATTAGGTTATAAGCAATCTTACTACCTGTCGAAGTACACAATAGCTTTTAGGATACTGTCAATCACCACTGGAGGAAAAACAAAGGCTTAAAATCTTATTTCTAGCTCTCCTATCAAAACCAAACATCTGAAAATGGACTTCTCTTATGCTGCTCTCCGCTCTCAAAAAAACAAAAACAAAAACTCACACTGTTTACTAACCTGGTCAGTTCTTAGCTGGGTTGAACCATCCTTATACATCAGAGTTACCACCAGGGCTGCTGCCTGTTTGAGCATTTCAGTCAGCTGGCTTTTCTCCAAATCTCCCAAATACCTAGTATCACAAAAATGGTTTTTAAATGCACTTGAGTTCCCAGAATTTACGTAGGCTTGAACCTCCTTCTCATCTTCTTCCAATGTCCTATGTTTACTTGTTTTCTCTAATAAATTATTAGATGCAATGTGTTTTCTTTTAAGACTCATGCTTTCCTTATTTCCATTTTCACTGACATTTTCTTTTAGGAAGTGCTTTCTTTTACACTCCATTTTCTGTAGAACTGAAGCCTCTTGATGACTCCGTGGAATTAAACAATTGGAAAGAGCCAGGGAGCTGATGCTTTCCTGGTTTTGGTCAGGAGACAGCTGATTTGTAAGGCTGACACTGGCCGACTGAGGATGGAACTTGATGGAAGTTCTTGGTGTCTGGCTTGTTAAAGAAATAAGATTCTACGGAAAAATGGAGGGTATTTCATCAGAATATTATACTGTATAATTCTACTTATATGAGGAATCTAGAAAAGGCAAATTCATAGAGACAGAAAGTAGATTAGAGGCTACCAGGGACTATGGGGGCAGGGGAGAATGGGGAGTTATTGCTTAGTGGGTACTGAGTTTCTGTTTGGGGTGACAGAAAGGTTTTGGAAATAGATAGTGATGATGGTTGCATGACATTGCGAATGTACTTCATACTACTGAATTGTACACTTAAAATGGCAAATTTTATGTTATATATATTTTACCACAATAAAATCTTTAAGAATTAATGGTGGTTACTTCTGATTTTTAAATACATGGTTCTTACTTCTAAAATTCAAATACCAAAGTTCAGTATAAAGATGGACACACTGAAGAAAAAACGTGCCTACTATCAAAGTCCTTGCCTCATAAATAACTTAATTAGCAAGATACTTCACTGTATTGTTACAAAGTAAATAATAAGAAAATATTTTGTTTGTGTAAGTTATAAAAATGAATAAATGATAGATTTGCATCATTTTAATCTCAGCTATTTTTAGCAAACTTTCTAACAAGACTTGCTCCATAGTTTATTTCTGTTGTTTTCACAATATTCTCCAAAATCCATATTAACACAGTTATTTTAATTCAAATAGGAAGTCAGACTTTCTTAGACATAAAACAAGCCTAATTCGGCTGCCTGATTTGACAGCGAGGATGAGATTTGCCAGTTTGACTATTTGGCCAATTTTTTCATTAATTGAATGAGCCAGCTCTCCAAGGTTTTGACAAAAATATGTGTAAGCCATGTATTAAAAGAAATTTATTTTAAAAAGGTACTGTATTGAGAAATGTGTACTGAAATTAACACTTCCATTTTCCCAATACTTTTTGAGAATATCAAGAGACCAGAGAGACAAGATCTCTACATGACAGAGTAACAGTTATTGGTCATTTGTTAAGTCTTGATAAAGCCTTTTTGCTGTATTTTCGAACGCGAGAAAACAAATGACTCTAATAATGAGTAAAAAATCTTTTTGCAAGTCAGATTGTTTCCCATTCTTTCAACAAAATTAAAAGAAAGCTAAGAGTTGTCAGATGACAAACAATTAAAATATATCTTTTGTTTATGATTGATCATTTTATGGGGTTTCTTTCAAATAACGGGGAAAAGCTTAAAAGAACTGAGTGTCAAGCTATAATCAAATTTCATCTATTCCCTTCTACTTTTATAAGATTTCTCAAAACTTGTATCTACTAAAAATAAAAAAATATGGTTAAGCAGCAATTTTCTTCCTCTCATTCTAGCAACATGCAATATTCACAGATCCACTAACTGAGAGAAAAAACCATACCTATATATGGTTCACTGGGCATAAAATTTCATTTTAAATGTTTAATTGTTTTTCAAAATTTATTAATATATTTATGCTGTTTTAAACAAGTGTGTACTAGTTAAGACTCTAAATCATTTTGAAAGAAAATTTTTAACAGAATCATATGGTCACAGAAAATTTAACTTTATGTTCGTGTTTTTACTATAGAGAGATATGTGGTTTTCAAGAAAAGACTTTCAAGCATACAATTATATTGCATTAAAAAATCTGTGGAGGAGTATAAAAGACAAGGAAGTTCAGGGAGAAAAATAAAAATATAAAAATTCAGACTGTTAAGGAAGAGCTTGCTCATGTATTTTTAAAATGGATGACTGTGGCTATCAGATTGCCAGAGTACAGTTACTTAGAATTTAATATATTTGAAACAGTGATACAGCAGCTTTTAAAATGTCAATATTAACAATACACTAGAAATTACATCCTTTGCAAACATTTAAATTTGTGACGAATATTTTAAGTGTCAACTTAAAAATATGCTCGCGGTAGGTATATGGCTTTTCAAAATGCTTTTGAGAGAAAGGGAGGGAAAAAAAGGATTAAGGATTTAAGAAGCATAGTTGGAAACCAATGAAAGATATAATTTCCATTCATTCACAAAGGACTGCATAATCCCTCCTGTCAACTACGCCCCTCTCTACTCTAGAGGCAAATCATTATTCTATCAATCTGAGAGAAGACCTGCGAGACAGACTGTATTATTATCCCCATTTTAGTACTGAGAATTTAAGTTCATCACATTAGGCTGGGATTTGAACACAGGCAGTTTGGCTCCAGAGTCCATGTTCTTGACTACTACGCTGTCTCCAGCACGATTTCATATACAAGGTCTTTGGTGATCTGACCTCTGCTATCACTCCTCTCTAGCCCACCCCACATAATTCACCTATCGTGAATTTTATACCTCAGCCTTTCTCAACTGCTATTTCCACTACCCCAAAGTTCCCAGCTCTCAACGTCCTTCCCCAGCTCTCTAAAGGTGTGGCTCTTTAGGCTGACCAGCTCCTAATCATGCTTTAGATCTCAACTCAGTTATAATTTTCATGCTTCAGGAGGATGTCCCAGACTCCTCTCCCCAACACCCAGAAAAAGCAAAAGAAAACAACACAAAAACTGAGTTAGATGTCCCTCCTATTATTCCCAGAACACTCTGTCCTTACGTCTACCGCTCATTGCAATGTGTTGCAGAGATTACTGCCCTTCTGTCTTCCCTTTTCCCTCATCCAAATTAGACTATAAGCTCCTTGAGAGGAAGAAGTACTCTTTTGACCTTCGTATCCTCAGTGCCCAGTGTATAGCAGATACCTAAGTATTTGCTGAATAAATGAGGGTTATGTTGTTAAGAAGCCCTGGAGGTGCAGTGGTTAAAGCGCTCAGCTGCTAACCAAAAAGGTCTGTGGTTTGAACCCACCAGCCATTCCGCAGGAGAAAGAAATGGCAGTCTTGCTTCCGGAATGATCACAGCCTTGGAAACCATATGGGGCCATGTGTTTGGTTTTGGGTTTTTATGTTTTTGTTGTTGTGTGTCATCAATTAGATTCCAACTCATAATGACCCTACAGGACAGAGCAGAACTGCTCCATGGGCTGTAATCTTTATGGAAGCAGATCGGCAGGTCTTTCTCCCAAGGAACTGCTGGGTGAGCTCAAACTGCCAACCTTCCGCTTAGCAGCCGAGCACTCAACCATTGCACCACCAGGGCCCTTTATGAGGATTTATAATTATTCATATTTACATTGATTTACCTTTCTTCCCAGTGATTGATTCTTCCCATCTTCATGTAGTACTGAAGACTTAACACTGGATTTGCATACCACTTCTGCAGCTTTTAAAAACAAAAAAGAAACATGGAACATTAAAGAAATATTGAAATCTAACTCATATAATAAGTTAAACATTGAAAATAGCCACTACAGTCATGCTATTTACTCATTATTAACTTACTTAAAATAATGTAATAAAACTAACAAACAAAATGCATATTGCCATTGCAGTAAGCATTTATGTAAAGTATCTTCAAATTAATTGGAGATAGATCTATGGAATCGTGAAATGTTTATTGAAAATTACTACATGGCATTTGCATTTGAATATTTCATTCTGACAACTCAAGGCCAACATTTTACAGAAATCTTATAAATATTAAAGGTTTGAGGAAATTCTTAGACTGAATAACACTGCAATGGAACAACCAGAGGTTCTATAAAACACCATTAATACAAACTTCTAATTTAGAATTTGTTTTACTTTTAATATACCTAAGCCGAACAGTAAGCGAAGAAGAAGGATTCAACTTCAGGCAATATGACTCTGGAATCTGTGTGCACTCTCTGACATAAGTTCCCTCTATAGTAGCAATAACAACGAACAAATGCAAATGGGAGGAAATCTTTTTCATTAACAATAAGAAAAAAAGTTTTACTCAAGAAAAATTTAACAAGAAAGGCGCAGGGCCCTTGTCATGATTAAGGTTGTGTGTGAACTTGGTTGGGCCATGATTCTCAGTGGTTTGGCAGTTATGATGTAGTTTGGCAGCTATCTAAGGATGTAATCACCTTCATAATGCAATCTGATGTAATGACCTCCATGATGAAATCTTCTATGAGCAGCCTATCAGTTGAAAAGGGGTGTGGACTGCATCCAATATAAGTGGACTTTCTGGCAAAGCTCTTTGGCTCTTGCTGTCTCTGGACCCTGCAGCTGGCTCCTGTTCATCTGATCTCCGGTTCTTGGAACTTGAGCTAGCAGCTTACCTGCCAATCTTGGGATTCATCAGCCTCCACAGCCTGTGAGGCAGCAGCCTGCCAGCTTACCTGCCAATCTTGGGTTCGTCAGCCCCTGCAGCTACATGGGTCAGGAGAAGCCTCCAGCCTGACATGGGCTCAAACATAACAATGATTGTGAGGATGGCGCAGGACTGGACAGTGTTTCGTTGTGTTGTGCATAGGGTTACTGTGAGTTGGAACCAACTCGATGGACCTAACAACAACATATATATATATTTTCACACATGCTTCGCTGCTCCAGGTTCTGCCCATTGGTAGGATTCCCCTTCACCACTGTCCTTCAGGGAGGTCCCAGAGAAGGGCTGCAGTGCTGCTGCTGTCCACTTTCAATTGGTGCCTGCCTATTGCACAGATCCATCTGTAAACCAGGTACCAGTTTTCTCTTCCTTAGTCAACTGATCATAAGGAACTCCCCATGAGGTCATAGGTGCAGACTGGGAGTTGGAAGGTAATGTGACAGGAGTGCAGATCATGGGCATTTGGGCCACTTCCTCATTTAACTGACTTGTGCCTTCAGGTCCTGCTCCGGGCCAATCTCATATACATACTGCTTCCATTTAATGATGGAGTACTGCTGTACACATTTGACTTCATGGCTCTGTGGATCAGACAACACACAGTTCATGTCGGCAGCTCAGGCCACATGGTGACTTGGTGGTCCATGGTTAAGCATTCAGTCTCTACTAAGGCCCAGTAACAAGTCTAGAGCTGTTTCTCAAAAGCAGTTACCTGCACAGGATGGCAGGTAACTGTGTGTGTGTGTGTGTGTGTGCACGCACGCGCGCTCCTTGGAAACTCTATGGGGCAGTTCTACTTTGTCCTATAGGGTCACTATGACTTGACTCGACAGCAATGGGTTTTATATATATATATATTCTAAGGGTCTACACTGTGATTCAGCAATAGGGGCCTGCCAAAGACTCCAAACAGCATCTCTATCTGCCACTGACACTTTAAGCACCATCGGATCAGCTGGATCATATGGCCCAAGTGGCAGAGTGGCTTGCACAGCAACCTGAAATTGTTGCAGAGTCTTCTTTTGTTCTGGGTCCCACTCAAAACAGGCAGCTTTTCAAGTCACTTGATAAATAGGCTAGAGTAGCACATTCAAATGAGGGATATATTGCCTCCAAAATCCAAAGAGATCCACTAGGTGTGGTACCTCCTTTTTAGCTGGAGGGGGGGCAGATGCAATAACTTACCCTTCACTTTAGAAGGAATTATCTCGGCATGCTCCACACCACTGGGCTCCTAGATTTCACTGAGGTGGAAGGCACCTGAATTTTTGTAGGGTTATTTTCCCACCCTCTAGCACACAAACGTTTTACCAATAAATCCAGAATGACTGACACTTCTTCTTTACTAGGTTGAATTAGCATAATGTCACCAATGTAATGGACCAGTGTGATGTCTTGTGGAAGGGAAAGGTGATCATGGTCCCTGGGGACTAAATTATGACATAGGGCTGGAGAATTGATATACTTGTGCGGCAAGACAGCGAAGGTGTATTGTTGGCCTTGCCAGCTGAAGGCAAACTGCTTCTGGTGGTCCTTCAAAACAGGTATGGAGAAAAAAGCATCAACCAGGTCAACAGCTGCATACCAAGTACCAGGAGATATACTTTTCTCAAGCTATGAAACCACTCTTGGACAGCAGCTGCAATGGGAGTCACTACCTGGTTAAGTTTTCGATAATCCACTGTCATTCTCCAAAATTCAACTGCTTTTTGCACAGGCCAAACAGGTGAGTTCAATGGGGATGTGGTGGGAATCACCACCACTGCATCCTTCAAGTGCTTGATGGTGGCACCAATCTCTGCAATCCCTCCAGGAATGCAGTATTGCTTTTGGTTTACTATTTTCCTAGGTAGGGGCAGTTCTATTGGCTTCCACTTGACTTTTCATACCATAATAGCCCTTACTCCACTTGTCAGGTAGCCAATGTGGGGGTTCTGCTAGTTGCTGAGTATATCTATTCCAATTGTGCATTCTGAAACTGGGGAAATCACTATAGGATGGGTTTAGGGACTAACCGGAGCCACTGTTAGATGAACCTGAGCTAAGACTCCATTAATAACCTGACCTTCATACACACCCACTCTGACTGATGGGCCACAGTGATGTTTTGGGTCTTCTGGAATTCATGGCAGTTCAGAGCCAATACCCAGTAAACCCCAAAAAGTCTGATTATTTCCTTTCCCCCAGTGAATAGTTTGATTATTTCCTTTTCCCCAGTGAACAGTCACTTGTAAAAGGCCATAGATTCCTTTGACAAAGGCTGGGAGAAAGATTAACAGTATATATTTTTGGAAGTGCAGTGGGGTCCTTCCTCAAGGGGATCCAGCCTCCCCTTCATTCAAGGGGTTGTGGTCTTTATACTCACATTGATTGAGGGTCTTTATACTCATTGACTGAGGGGCTGTGACTCTATTCTGGTGATTTGAGTCAGACTGTCGTTCACTTGACATAGAATTCTTCCACTTGTACAGATCAAGTAAATATTTAGTAGATTTCCCACCTATTTCACTCCTAGGGATACCATGACTAAGTAGCCAACACCATAAGTTCATATGAGTCAGACTATTTTGATTACTGCTTTGACTCCACTGTCCGTTATGATAACCATGCCTATTTTGTCTTTGTTGATTGAGTGTTGCCGTTTGGCCCCTACTACCATGGGGTCTAATCAGCCCCCCTGTAGTTAGGTGTCTCAATTCAGTTACGGCAGCTCCCACTGTCAAATCTGACTTACATAAAATAGCAATCACAGCAGTCTTCAAGGATACTGGGGCTCCCTTCACAAAGTTGTTCCTCACCATTTCGGTAAAAGGTATGTCCTCTCGGAACTCTATGTGTGGGTCTGTGGGTCTAACCTGATAAATCCACTCAAACATGCCATTTTCCCTAAGCCTTTGGATACCTTCTTCTACAGTATACCAAGGCAGAGCTGTACTTCAGCTTGATTTAGTGTAGGCCACAGCATAATCTATGCTTCAGCAACACAACCAAATAAACTATTAGATCCTTTCCTAATCTCTCGAGCTGAAACACTGAATGAAGAATCTGTGCTTACTGGGTCCATATCAATAAACTCAGACTGATCCAAACTTATGTTTGGATCATTATCCCACACCCTTAATAGCATTCCCACACATATTCTCCAGGTTTCTGTTTGTACATATTAGAAAAGTCAAGCAGTTCTTTTGGAGTATAGCATACCTCCTCCTGGGTCACACTTTGTACTTCACCTTTTGGGGCTCGCTGGGACTTAAGTCTATTTATAGCTCTAGAAAGCAAAAATGAGTGGTGGTGATGTGTTTCGAGAACACTCAGCAATGTCTTGTAAGGCATCTGCCTCAGGCAATGCCCCAGGCAATGACTCAGACGCCGTCCCAGGTGATATCTCAGACAAAGGCTCCTCAGACACAGCTGGGTTAATATCATCAGATGAGGGTGGAGGGGCTAATGGTTTTGTAGGGAGGAGCGATTCTATGGAATTTAGGGGCTCAGTGTCCCCAGCTTCCTGATTATCTGCCCATATGTCCCCATCCCAAGTTTTAGGATCCCACTTCTTCCCAATCAATGCCCTAACTTTAACTTCAGACACCACTGGAGGTTGGGAATTCAACTGGCATTGTAAGTCAGTCATTATGATAAGACTCTGGGTTTGGTTATCAGCAATATCAGTTCTGTTACTATAAGAAATAAGGCTTTCTTTCAGGGCACAAGTGGCAATTTTGAGGTTGTACATGTGGCGCTCAAGCTTTGACTCTGAGCTTAGACTGTGATGCCCTGAGCTCATCCCTTTCTTTCACCACTTTGTCTAGTGAAAGTAGGACCAACCAACCAGCTTCCTTGTACTTCTCATTCTGACAAAATTGTTGAAAAGTATCAAACGTGATCACCCAAAGCCTTACCTCTCACCAACACTTGATCTATTGGTGGTGATATTCATGTATTTCTATTTCCACCTCACACCATGGATTAGCAGTGCTCTCTGCACTACTGGAAGGAGAGTCATCAATATCTTTAAGACTAAC